TGAGGTAAATATCATGGTGACAAATATCATGGTTCAGTAAGGGCAATTAAAAACCCAAACTAAAAGTATAACTTCTGGTTAGCTCACAATAATCCTTTTTTTTTTTTCCTTGCCAAAATGAGAATGGAGAGCTAACATTGTTTTATAGATTATGTATCAATTCACTACAAGACTATAGTTTTATTTTTAACATCTTCATAACCTTTAGATCTAAGTAAATGTAGCAACAAAAAATTTTGGAATAAAAAGTCATAATTTTTTTTGTGAAAGTTTCAAACTTTCCTACATTATTTTACACTTTTAAATCATTGTTCAAAACCTATAAACTCACTGGAAACCAAATCAGTTTTTCACTGTCCATGAACTCTCACTATTTATGCAGTTTTGGTTGATGATTTTTGTTTTTCTTTACTTGTGCATTCTGTGAGATTTTTTAAGGTGAAAGGCTTCTTTTCCCTCTCTTATTCTAGAATTCTTTTGAATTAATTTTTTAAGGTTCTTCAGAGATGTTTTTCAAAGTACAGAATAGAAGCAAAGGCCTGTATCTATAAAGAAGAAACTTGCAGATATCAAACTTTATCAATGTAGGTACTGAATCATGAAAATAGGTGAGTGGGAGTGCTAGTCACATGACCCACCATGAGAGAACGTAAGTGAAGTAGTTGGAAATGCAGGAGGTAGGACCCTTGTATTCCCTTTCTTTTGGTCCCAAGTCTTAGTTCTTGCTGGCCAAATTGAAGTGTACACCTCTCTTAGATGGGATCCAAGTCTGACCCCAGGATGCTGCTTTGGCTGTCATAAAGAAACCCAGAAATATGGTAACACAGAACCTTAAGTTTGATCTGCCCAAAGGGCAGATCTGTTAAGTAAAATGAGAAGTATTCCTAGGGAACTAAGTTCATTTCTGTTGAATGAGTGAGTTCCCTAACAGGGATTCCTGTTGAAATCAATGCTTTAAGAGAGGTTTGGGAAAGGAGAACTACACTTTTTCATTTCCAGCTGCTCTTCCAAGAGCACTTTGGGTCAGAATGCTCTCTCAGACTGGGATTTCATCTTTCCAAAATGCCTCTGTCTTATTCTATCTTATGCAAAAAGCTTTTATGAGTTGCCTTATGTATTGGCTCTGGCTGAGCTTGAGTTCATTTCCTCACAGTAGCCCTCACAGTGTTGTGCTTTGCATTGGCAGCTAGAAGGGTGTTGATAACACACCGTGTTTTGGCTACTGCTGAGCACAGCACCAACACTGTAACATTCCTCCCCCAGTGAAGGGCAAAATCCTGGGAGGGGACACAAGTAGGCCACCTGACCCAAACTGACCAAGGGGATAGTCCATACTGTATGACATCAGCTCAGATGTAAAAGCTATGGCAAGGAGCAGGAAGGCAGGCATTCATTGTCTCCAATGGCTGCCAGCTGAGGAACCATTACGCGTGCTGAAGTCCTGCTTCTTGGAAGTGGCCAATCATCACTGCTGATGGGAACTAGAGAACAAACCATGTTATCTTTTGATTTACTTTTGTGCGTGCAAGCTTTCATCTAGCTTTTGCTTTAATAAACTGCCTTATCCCAACTCATGAGTTGTTTTCCATCTTACTCTCTCCCCTGTCCGGCTGGGAAGGGGAGTGATAGAGTGGCTGGGTGGGTACCTGGCATCGAGCCAAGGTCAACTCGTCACACCTTAGTAATGCCCAGTAAGGTTCTATCAAGTCACTGGTAGATGTGTTGACCACACTGCTGTCTGAAAAGGGACTTGTTACGTAGCAAGGCAAGTTTGCACAGACCGTAATCTCCATACTGTCTTCTAAAGAAAGATGGCTCGTGCCAAATTATTTTTCTTTTATCTTGAAGATCCAGCATCACTCTGAAAACAAGCACCAGTATTATTGCTTATTCAAGCTTTTAGTAATCAGTCACCTGGCTATTAATAATTCCTTAATTTTTACACTGGTCAGGAGACACTTAACAGATGAAATAGAGTTTTGTCTATTCTTCCATTAAACTAAAAAACTAGATCAATAGTACAATATGAATAGAATAGTTGCCTTTTATTCAAATGCCATGCTATATCTTTGATGCGTAATTGATACAGACAACGTGATCTCTGTGGAGTAGAAGATGATATAGAAATGCAGCTTAGTCATGCCTTTTTGGTGTGGTATTCTCAGGACATAGACTGCATAATTGACTACAGACATCTTAGTTTAACAGGCATCTTTTAAGTTTCATCCAGTCCTAGTAATATGTATACAGTCCCATGGGCTGCATCCAAGGATTATGCTAATTTTATTAGCAACTCCTCTTGCTTTAATTAAACTGTATAAATTCCCACCTGGTCACTGTTGTGCCAACACCCTTTTTTCCATTTTTATTTCAATTTATAGATAATCTGTAGTTTTGTACGTCAATTCTGATTTTCTGAATGATCCATCACATTTTCCACATGAAATAACACGACTTTGAGGGATGAATGAGACTTCAAATTGAATTAATGGGTTTGAGAAAACCTCTGGGTCAAAACAAAGACCTAAATTTCTAAAGTTGGCCAAGTCTTTTTAGGAGCAGGTATTCAAAGTAACTTGCTCTCTGAAAACACCAAGCTATATGCTGCTGTTCAAAATACCTACAAGCAAGCTCTGTACTAACATTTACTGTGTCTATACCACAAAATAGAGCAATATGAATTCCTTAGTGGACTGTTAATTTACATGTTATACACTTTCAAATATTTCCGAAAGCAAATGTGAAATGATTAGTAATCTGTTCACATGCTCACAAAATGTTATTAGCAAAATGCCTTGGGCAGTATGTTATGTTGACTAAAATTGATAATTTTGTATTTTAAAACTAAAGCAACTCCCACTGCCCCTGACAAATTTTAGGACCTGCCCAGAGCCCAGACCTCCTGGTCACACCAGTTTTCAAGGTGTGAGTTGAGCTGAGGAGGAAAAAGACCAAAACCACCACAAATGGCACCCCCCCCCCACAGAGATGTGACCTAAGGTTTGCAGTGATTTCAGCTCTTCTGAAAGCCTCACTAAAAGTCTTCTGTGGAGTCCTGCAGTTTAAAATAGCTTGCTATCTACAAAATCACTACGAAGAGGTGATTTTTGTGTTTTCCACTCATTCTGCTTGTGTAGGTTTTAAGGTGTGTACGTTGCACTGAAGAAATCAAGCCTGGTGGTTCTTTTTACTTCCGCATAACTGTCTGTATTCAACTGCATGTGGTTCTGACAGAGCCAAAGCCCTGGACAAAATATCTCATACTCCTCAAACTGCTGAGGTTGTTTTTTCTTTAAAGAAGACCAAAGAGCAGGCTATTTAATGGTATTTGTCAACATATCTCTGTTTTGAATAATGGTTTCCATGCCTTGCAGCCTCAAATATAACATAACACTTCCTCCTAAATGCCAATTATTCTGTCCAGAGGAGTTGTCCAAAAGTCTAGTCCTCAAAGTTTCACACCAGACTCACATGGGATATTAAAATTCAATAAAAGCCGTTGTGATGGTAAGATTGTGCAAAAAAACTACGCAAGAGCTGAGTATTGTTTCTATGGGTGCAACACACTTTCCAGCAATTTACATTTACATCTATGAAGTAATTGAATAAAGAAATGCATCATCATTATCTTTTTTAGCACATAGGTGAAATATTTTACCAGTATATGAAGGGGTGTTCATATAACATCACGATGCTTTGTGCTAGAGAAAAACAATTACAGTGAATAAGGTAGAATAGCTCTGTTATTGCAGTACATAAGACTTTGATTACATACTGCCAAGATTCATACCAGCCTAGTAGTTGTTGACAGATAAAGTAACAAAAATGAAACTCATTTATTTTTTCTTTATTGAGACCTCAAGGTAAAGCAAATTTTCAGTTCTTGTACTTACTACATTGAAGGAACAGAGACTGACAGTCAAAATGTGCCAGTGCAGAAATATAAATTAAACCTAGTTTCATATCAAAGTTTCATTTAGTCTCTGAAAAGGAGCTGCTGCTTGGATTATTTTTGATCCTAAAACAAATACACTGTAGACAACCATAGGGTATCTAGGATGAATTAACCCCCTCATACATTTAGCTTTTATGTATTTGTCAGGATATAGATCAATGTCGATTCAAGTGACTTAAAAATTTGTTATGGACATAATTATTTTACATTTTTTTTTCTGTTTAATTATTATTTACTGTGTTTGCAAACGCAGTAAACATGTGGATGGTTTTAATAGTGTAGCATTTTTGCTGAAGAAAGAACATACTTTGAGGAAAAAGTCCTTCCTCCCTCCTTGTATAAGGAAAATTCTGGCTTTTATCATGAGTTCCTCTAGGCAGCTAGATGCTGCATTATTTCTTGATAATTCTAACAAATTACTTTTTTTGTAAACTTGTTTATTTTCTAAAGAGCAGATAAAATTAGCTGTTAAAATAGAAAGTGCTAACATGATTTGATTTGCCCCATCAAAATCTTGGATTAGTTACCTAGTCCAACTGAGCATAATTGCAGTTCAGATTAATGAGGCAGTATCCTAGTATCTCCTCTGTAATTAAACACTTCTCTTGTTGAATACAGTATTAAAGATGCACCAGACGTTGAAACCTCAGTGGTGAAATTTAAAACTGTTGAAACTGGAGGGGTCAGCTGTGAAACACAAATTCCTCTGCAGTATGGATAATTCACTTGTAATTTGGCTTATGTTGGGGGTGCTGGATTTTTTAAAAAATTTTTCTTACCTTTCCATCATCTAAATTTGAGAATTTTTTCTCATTAGTTCCTGAGCAAAAGTAACATAAAATGCACTTGTTTCCAGAATTACCTTTTCTGACCTTTCACAAGAAGATAATTGCAGTACCAGTAGGCTTAGAGGACTTGTTAAAAAAATTAAGCTTGTAAAGTAGCAAAAAATGCCCCTTTGCTTGCTGGTATCGATTTCAAAATTAACATTTTAGTTCATGTGCTTCTAATAATCGCTGACCCTTACTTCATGTGCTTTCCACAGGAAATGAATACAGCAGAAATTACTTTGACCCGCTGATGGATGAGGAAATAAACCCAAGGCGGTGTGGGATGGAGGTCAGTGAAGAAGGTGAGGCAGAATTAAGTATGTAATTTTGGTGTCAGAATATTCTTTTCCATTCATGAAAATGAGGTGACAGAGATCACATATGCAGTTCTATTTAAATATTGAGGTTTACAATTTAAATTCTAAGCCTTAACTGCTCTGAACAGGATAGGCAGTATACATAGTCTTTGATCAAGGACAGTGAGTTAATGGGCGGGTAAAAATGAGGCTGCGCTGTATTCGCTCTGCTACTGTAGCAAAAAGAAGCGTGTTCCAAGAGTATTGTCTACATCATGTTCTCTTTAATTAATGAAGTTAGTCCAGAACTGAGTGCTAAGCTGCAGCTTTTTCGCAACCCTGCTCCCAAAGTCCTCCTTGGAGAGCAATTTTATTACTGAGTTGAATGTGTGTTTGCCTAATAGAAGGAAACCCCAGACTGCACCAAAGTGCATGAGGAGGCTTTTTTGTTATTTTTTTTTCCCCTAGTTTATCCGAGATGTTTAGCTTTGCTGTCTGGGGACGGCAGGGACAGGTGGGAGGGTGTGACTCTGCAGAGATGGAAGAACAGAAGTTATGCATAGGTGTGAGAGAGATTAACCAGGAGGTATTGTCTAGTAGAGGAAATTCTCCTCTGCTGTCCTGGCTTTTAGATAAAAAAGGGTGGGAACGGGCCTGCCTGAATTTGCACGGACTTAAGTAAGAACATCATCATGGTAATGAAGTGCTTAGCTATGCACTGAGTGCTTTGGCCCAGCTCCTGTTGTTAAGCCCTAACAACCTGATAGCATGCAAGATCCAGTTCTCCTGTGTTACGCTTCTATCCCTTTGTTTTTTTAAAGTGTGCACTTATTTGTACTGCATAGACTCTCTAGTTGTGCAGATGTAGTCAGATTATAAAAAGTTATTTACTACAAAGGGTCTCAAAGTAGTTCAGTTCTGAAATTCATGAGAAACTTTGAGGGCATATGAAGGTTTTAAACTTTTGAGACAAAAACTTGTGTAACTTAAAAAAACCAGCCTATAGTGCATATCAGTAACTTGAATTTCTGTGTTCTGGTGAAAAAAAATCAGGGGTTATCAAGATTGGTTTACATCTCATCCCAATAATTTCCACATTCATTGTGTAGGACAGCAGTGTAATACCTTGGAAGTCAACTTCTAACTCAGAGTTTTTAAATGAAAGATTTTTTTTCCTGTTGGTCCTGCATTGGTTTATCCTGCAAGTAGGCTTTGTGAGTCAAGATCTGCTTCATAACCAGAAAATGAAAAGCAGATTAAATTTCTGTATCTGTACGTGTGTGCCTAGTGGTAACATAAGGGATACATGGGAAGGACAGTTCTCACTGGGAGAAAATGTTCTCTTGACTGTGTTGAAGAGGCTGATTGATACACTTAACCTTAAATGCTGATTTTGTATTTTGTGGTAAGGATTTTATCTATTTACTTGTTTTAAAATTGGGAACAGAAGAAGGCTCTTAGAAAGTCCATTGGGTTCTTGGTTTTGGAGTGGGGAGGCAGTTTTAGGCAATTGCATATCATGCTAAACCTGAGGTCCATGTGTAAACAGCTGTCCTTTGGTGTTCCTCCTTTTTTGTCCTGGCAAAAATGTCACTCATATGTTGATATAACACTTGTTTATTAAAAGTCTATTAGCAAAAGTATTGGCTTCAAGTACTTGGTTGTGTTGACCTCTGTAGAGCAGTTATAGTGGCATATTTACCAACACTTCTGCCAAGATCAAATCTTCTACTTTGGAGATATTCAAAAGCTGCCTGGACAGGGTCCTGGACAATTTGACTCTAGGTGGCTCTGTTTGAGCAGGGGCAACTGGGCTAGATGGACTCCAGAAGTGCCTTCCCACCTTAATGAGTCTGATTTGGTGATACTCGAAAACCAGGCTCACTGGCTTTCTTTTCCTTGCAGAAGTGTTAAATAAGTTGAACTACATTTGTGCGTAGTGGATGGAGATAAAAGGATGGTCAGAACTGCATGGTCGTGCATGCAGGACCTAACTGGAAACCTTATCATCCTAACTGGAAACCTTATTGATTTATCTCCTCTTTCCAGCTAGCAGCTTGCCACAAGCAAAAGCCAAAACCAGAAAAAGATGAAGAAATCAGGGCACATTTTAAAGTTGCACTCTTCTTAGGGCTTAAGAAAGTCAGGCCCAATGCCCAAAGAGAATAGCTAGTGAAAAGCAAATCTTCAGCCACTAATTCTTCTTTAAGGGGTTATTTTGTGAAAATAAAGATGTTGACAATTATTTTTTCTACCTTTGATAAATTATATTTGTTCTGGACATTTTTCTGAGTTGATAATGCTCTGAGAACAAACAACTTCTTACTATGGATTTGCTTGACCCCTTCACCAGGGGGACATTTCAATGTTAAATGTAAAAGATTCTGTACTTTCAAAAGAGGTTTGCAGAAGCGACCACCTTCTTTGAATGCTCAGTGTAACGGAAAACTTGGCTCTGAAATTTTGTGGTAAAGAAAATTTATTCTTTGAGATTCTTTCGAGCACTTAAAAAAAGCCACTCAAGGTTGCTTGTAGCTGTACTTCAATCCACCTGTCTTGTATGCATTTCTTTGGCCTTCTATCTGCCTGTCTTCACTGGCAGCTTAGAGAAGTCACAGTCTGGGAGATCTGGAGAGAAGACAGTCCCACTTGCTCATTTCACCCTTGAATATAGACCTTTAAGGTGATATTTTTTTTTTTAGGTCTCATGGAAAAAGGTGAGTGTGCATGTCCTTTGCTGCTTTTTAAAATCTGCACATATTACTGACAATTCGAATGACTGACCAGCCACAGAATCAAAATTCATAGTGTGCTATAATTACTCATACTAATATTATACATGTTAGTATTATGGAGAGCAAGGTAAAATTTCTGATGAAGATCCAAAATCACATTAGAATAGAAATTGGGTATTTTGATTTTCATAGAGAGTCAAACAGAATTTCTCTGACAATTTGAATATAAACAATCATTTCAGCTACTCTATTAGCAGAATTAATAAACCAGTTTCAGTCCAGATCAACGTGTAATTAGGCTCACCATTTAAAAATATATGATATTATATTTTTATTTTAAATTGTCTTTCACAGAAGAGGTTACTGTAATTTTATTCTGATCTCCGAAAGGAACACTGTCTAAACTATCTTTAAGTGTCAAGTGGCTTCCTATGTTTATATCCTACTTTTAGTTTAAAATAATGTTTCCTGAAATATGACAGGAAGAAACAATAGCTGTTTCATTGTTGTTTTTTTAAGATCCTGTAAAATCTGATGAACAAATCCTGTACTCTAAACTGATGAAGCTTCTAGATGAAGAAAACAAGATGCTGGACTTCCAAGGTAAATAACAAAATCAATTGCATAAAGGAAAATAAAACTCTTCTGAGTCTGCATGTGGGGAGGAGAGTGGGTAATCCATCCCCTTGAACTCAGAAGTCAAAGGCATGCTGATTTTAATGCAAGCCTGTAAGGTCTCTTTCTCCAAATGTTTTTGTTTTGAGTCATGTTTATGTGGTTTAAAGTGTAACTTAAGTGGCGTGCTTTCTCTAGATTACTTCACTGCATGTTGAACTACACACTTAGGAAAGAAAACTGGAAATACCATTGCTTATGCAGTCAAATCTAGAAATCCAAATACTTTTGTAAGCTGGTAAATGGGTGGACCATTTGCCAGATACACAGGTGACATCACACTGTTTAAGGTTATCTATATAAGGATTTACAGTATCATATGAGTAAGAAAATATTTCCTGTGACTTTGTTAGAAAATACATATTGATGTTCCATCTACAGTAAAAGCAATAAAGTATAGGAGATTTCTTCACCTCAAGCCAACAGCCTTACTTTGGCTTCACTTATTTTTGCAGGCATTAATAAAAACCCAGTTGATTCATGAGACTATTACCTTTACACTCTTTACACGAGGTCCATGTCTACTGCTGGTTCATCCTAGGAGAAGTGACAGTTGTACAAGACCCAGCTCTGACCTGCACTTGTATTTTTATGTAGCCCCTCTCTCCTTTTTCAGCAGAGGTCTTTTGTGCAAAAGTATTTTCTGTTCTCTGTATCTGTATGAAGTTTCCTGTTGTATTTCAACAATACACAGGGCCTACTCTGTCAAGTAACTGGTTGCCCACAGCACTGGAGCTCCAGGAGCTGCAACATGTTTTATGACTATTTAGTTTATAGGCATCTTTGCTCTAGAAGATGCAAATGTTTTCATTCACCTAGGGTTGAAAAATCTCTTGAACTGGCACTGGTCATATCAGTAACATCTTTGAAACCCATTTTGCCTCAGCATGAATGCAAGGAAAAAAAGTGCGACCATCACAACTAAATTCACACAGATACTTTAAGCAAAAACCTTTAACAAATTATCAGCAAGCTCTTTATTGTTATATGTTAATGTAGAGATCCACATTACTGAAAAAGATAATAGCAATGCTGCAGGTTGATTGTTGCTTTTATCATGCAACAACATAGATGAAAATAAAACCATGTTTGGTGGTGAAGCCAACATTATTTCTCTATGAAAGATTGACATGGGGTGTCTATCTGTGGTACTTATCTAGTCCCTGTTTACAAGTGTTTATAGCATTTCATATTCATCAGTAGGTTTATCATCAAAATAATGCCATATGATGAAGGACAATGTCCTGATGTCATTTTATAGGTTGCCTCAGGGTGGGGTCTAGTACCCTCTACATTAGTTTTCTGAAAGTTTAGCCCCACTGGGGCTCCCCCAAAGTGGTGAGAGAGGAAGGGAGAAATACCTCTGGGCAGTGAGTCAGCTCACCTAACACAGATGGCTCTTCATTGGTTAGAAGAATTACACCTTGGAAGCTGTTTTTCTCTTTCCTTTGGCTCTAGAAGGATCTTGGACAACTAACTTAGACTTGACCATTGCTTTTTGGGTGGCTAAAGTGAAGGGGCAAGCAAATGCATTAGCATGCATGTCTCACACTCCATATGCACATCAGAGTCCCCTGGGAGTTGGAGCAAGTTGGGGAGACACTGCAGACCACTGTGTTATGTGTCTCAAGCAGTGCCTCAGTGCTTTTATGAGTACAATAATGGCTATCAGAGCTAGTCCTGTGTGTGAAGTTGCACACTGTTCTAGCTGAATTTTTAATTTGCTTTGCTTGAGTGAATAAAATCCAGAAAAGAGAAAGATTTTCCTGAGGAAGTGAGATTTCTGCAGTTTCCATCTCTGTGTGCATGTATCAGGGTGTATTTATTTCTGTCTGGTTTTCCTCCCCGATTTTTGAACTTGTTCATTTCCAAACCTTTTTTTTAACAGAGAGCAAGAATCACAGGTATGACTTCCCTACCAGTTTTGTGGAAGCAGGCAGTTGAGCAGAGAAGACAAGCATTATTAATGTCTCCACTGAGGGAAAAGCTAATATGGGAGTTGACCCTTACTAGACATCAGAAAATCAGTATAAAACTAGGATTCATTTGGTTCCACTCTTACAGAACTGCTTCGTTTCTTCGTTTGACCACTGAGCTGAAAAATCACATAATCATACAGTCCTAATTAATAGATGATCCCCAAAGGAAAGGAAAGAACATGGCTCAAAATTTATATAATTTTATATTTAAAGAATTTTGTGGCTGAATAACCTGTTGGTCATTCTTGAGGTATGTGTTAGTTCATACTATAAGGCAATTCAAAAGACAATATATGTGGTTTGATTTTAAAAATGTACACTGTATATTTTTTACCTAGTGATAAAATCTCTCAAACAATGTAAGATTGTGGTCCATGCACATATTAAATGATGCTAGGTGAATACCATAAAAAAATAATTGCTATTATATTGTTCTTCGGTAAGAACCGCAAAATTGAAGTGCCAGGTTTTGCAGCATTTTAGTTGTCTGAAGCCAATGCATGAACCTTTGGCAATGGACTTCTTTAGATACAACTTATACACAATTTTTTAGAACCAGGTAGCCAAAATTCTTTTTCTGTGTGGAGTGCATAGCAGTTTTATGCATTCAAACCTATGCTGAAGTGTAGTCTACTGCTGACCTACCCTTTAAATTATCATCTCAGTATATAAAGTGCTGCTATCTGATGGACAAAGGCAGGAGTAAATGAAGTCACAAAGAAGCAAAGTTAACACCAGAGAGATTGTTTTAGTTACAGCACAGCATCTGCAGATACAGCCTGTGCTGAGGAGGAGAAGTGATTTAAACTACAAGGAAAGTATGACTTGTGGTGCTACGTACAGCCGAGGAAATGAAAAGTTTTGATGCCCATGCTAACAACTTGAAGCAATAAGTTTTTAATTAGTTTATCAATCTATTAATGAATTTCCTCATAAATTTCCAGCCATTTTATTCTGTGTACCTAAAGTAGTAGATGGGGCTACTTTTGTACAAGGAGGGCTTGATTGTTTTGTTTTAGTCAAGTATTGCTCTGGGGCATCACTTGAGCCTCCAAACTGTGGATCAGTTCAAACAAGGACCAACCGAATGATGACCAAGTTCAAGAGGTTTCTTTGCAAAGCCACTGTGAAAGGAATAGACTGGCTGAACTAACCCTGTTCTCTCGCTGTTTCTGACTCAGGCAAATGAACAATTTTTCCAACTGTGCTTAAATGAGCATATGTATCAAATATTTTTCAAATCTAAATTGTAATATATCTCTGTATTTTTAGCAGTTGCTTCCCTTGAAAAGGCCTTTTAAAATGTTCTTTCTCTTCTTTTGCTCTTTTTCCACAAAACTTGTGCTAATGAGCCCAGTGTCTCCTACCAAAACTGAGTTCGTTTAATATGACTCCTCACAAAATAAGAAACACAAAAAACCAAAAAAAATGATATTTTGATGAATTGTTTCATGGTTGTCTTTCTGAAACAAGTGGTTTTATTTTGTTTTGATGTATAAGGACTATCTCTCTACACCCAGAGAATCCTGAGACAGGATTCTACTGACTTCCCAGGACGTAAACTTGCACCGCTCCTGTGAAAGCAGTAAAGCAGCTGATTTATACCAGCTGAGCGTATGGCCTGTTGTGCGCAACACAGCATTGAGGGGAACAAGACGTGCTTCATCTTCTGCTTTTGGCAATGTTTCTTTTTCCAGTGCTTCCTGGGTTTTCTCTCTCTAGCCAAACCCTTAATGTTACAGTAAATTTAAAAGTAAATACTGTTTTGTTTTTGCAGTTAATAGTGTAGGTCAAATCACTTTTCATTAGGCTTGTAAAATTCTACATGAAGAGATGTGTACCCTAAGGTAATGGTTTAGGTTGTTTATATCTACTGTACACTTCCCTCAACATGATTTTGAATTGTATCCTGTTGTAATTAAATAAAAAACCCACCCTACTTCCTGTGTGTTGGTGGCACCGAGGTGATTTAAGTACTCGGGAGGTTCAACAATTAAAATCATTAAACAACGAGTAGTGAGCAAATCTGAAAATGTTAATAGCCTTAGTTTTATCTTTCCTTTTCTGGTCTTCATTAGAGAATGAAAGACTTCAAAGGGGAGTGAGGAAAAAAATCCTCTTTTAACTGCTTTCATGTCATAGGATGGACAAAGAGAAGTAAATAACTAGATATGGCAGTTTCTCAAAGAGATAGGCACAGAGAACTATAAAAGCTTACACATAGAAATATGATGCAAGAAAGTCAGACATGGACAATCTGGTATCTGTCATTTTTTTAGTGATTCTAACATGGAGAAATGAGCAAAAATAGTTGTTGTTATTATTTATGACCCAAACTAGTATTAGTACTGCAGCAGATATCAATGAGAAGATCTATTTTTTTAATGTAGCATGATCAATTAAACTGAAAAAAGGACAGAGTTTCTCTTTAAGGGTGAATTTATGAATGGGTTTTATTTTTATTTATGTGTGGCATGTACCCTTTGGTTCTGCATTTGTCATCACAGTGAAATCAGGATAATGATGTGGGTGAGAGCAGAAATGGACCCAATTAATTAGGCAGGAGTTGCATGTGCACACCTAGGGAAGGAATCCAATCATCTGTGGGGAGTTAAGAGGATGATGAAATGCTTGGTATGGCTTCACCTAAAACTCCCAAAAATCTCAATTGCAGTTATTACTCCTGAAAGCCAAGGTTGTTCCAGATCCCAGTCCCTTTAAGATTTACAGGGAAGCAAAGTGCCCATAGAAATGCAGAGCATGCCTTTTAAAAAGTGTTTAAGAAACAAGCTACACATGCTAAATTTGTACCTGAATGCAGATGTTGCACTCGAGGACAGTTTTTCTGGTACTGGCACTTGGCACTCACCAGTTGTTTTACTGATGCTATTTATTACTGTTCATTTTATGGCATGAATTGTTGTCTTAAAATGTTGGTGGGCCAAACATATTAACTGAGAAGGTACTAACCAGTGAATAAACTCCTATTTGCTAAAAAATAATCTTCCACTTTTGTTTCAAGCAGCCCATGTCGTCAGTGAAGATTTTCCAGAATCCGTGATGCCTGTCAGCTCCGGTAAGGCATGTGACCTTCACAGGGAGCTTGAAGATGAAGAGATTCCTTCGTATATTGAACAGTTTGAGAGAGATGTTCAAGATGACATAATTCTGCTTGGCAGCTTTTCACTGGAACAGGTCAGAGTTAAGAACTGTAAGACAATTTTATCGCTTGCTTCATAACATGATGCTGGCTTGTTAACCTTGTACACCCCAATTCTATTTCTCTGCCTGGTGATACACATATTGAAAGAGGAAAAGATAACCACTTTCATTGGCATGCTTTATGTGACTGGCACTTTGCTAAGCTAGCAACAGGACCTTTATCTTCGTCTCCATTTTAATGTGAATTAAAACAGATTGCCTTAGTTACTTCTTTCCTAAATAGTGGAGTATCTCTGCCTGCTCTGTAGTAATATTGCAATTGAGTTTCAATCAAGAGACTAAGCTTAGGACATCTCTCTCTGCCAAATTTAACAGAGGGTTATTCATCTATCAGTGAGCAAGTTCAAACTGGAGCACATGGAGGATTCATGTAGCAATGTTCATTGTACAGTTGATAAGACTATTCCCTAATTATAAATTTGTAATGTTATTCAGGGTGGCAAAGCTTTCTAAGGTTTTCTTTTTGTCATTTCATAGTGTAAAGAGGCAGGGTTGGGAACATGTTGACAAAGGCACAAGTTTTCAGGGCTGAAATGATACTTGTGGGCACCTAACTACCATTTGTCCCTTTGAAAAATCTCATACTAAGACTAGAAGACAGGAAGAGAGATTAATTGATGAATCTATCATTTTTAATTAGCAACATGAGAACAGCACGCTGACTCTGATGGGCTTAAAATAGGTTATCCAGTGACTGATGGTGATCTAAGCTTTTTTTATTTTCAGAAAAGTTTTTAGATTTTTTTTTCACTGCAGGAATAAACCTTATCATTTCCTTTGCATGTTGGTGAGAGACAGAATTCTCTTCCTTACTGCTTTCCTCTAAATCCTGAAGCTATATTTCATTCCTTCAGAGTTTTTATAGCTGCATGTATCATGAATGGAAGGTGGTATAGGTAATATTGTTCAGAGAATATGAAATGAGAGGGAAACATGAGGGAAAAGGACTCAGATGGTACTAAGAGCCTCATCTGCCTCAAGGGACTGATGGAGTATAAATCCAGGAACAGGGGAACAGAGAGTGCTACACCTTTCCAGAAGGTTATAATATGTTGAGAGTTCGCACTGTAACTATGCTTGGGCTATTCAGATGCCCCCAGAGCTTCATGAGCCTCTGTGACACCTAAAGGAACACAGTATTTTGTTTACACTCCCTCTAGACATGGTCACTGTGAGGCTGATCATCTTACCTGGACTCTTTTTGGAGGTGTTCATTGAAGTTTGTTTACTAGACAGGAACAATATATCTGGTCATCACAAAACAACATCCTGCTTTTTAGCTGACAACTGCATATATGAATTCACATGTAATACAATATAATACTGCTTTTCTTCCTAATATAATTACAAAACAAAGAAAATCCTAATTTAATAGGATTAATTGAGCTGGTCTACCATGAGCATTCAGAGAGGGACTCAACACTTTATACTGCAAGGAAGAGGTCTTGAATACCTGTTCTCTCTCTCCATGCTTCTCACACATCTCTAACTTCAGTTGTTCATGCCCTGCTAAGGAATTTAGTCACATTGATATTGTATCAGTTGTCACATCTGCATCCTGCAATGCAGAGAGTAAGAAGAGGACCACTGAAAAATCTGTATTCTCTTCTAGATTAGTGATCTTTACATCCCTCTTTTCCTTGCAAGCTTACAGAAATGATACATTCAGCCCCTCTGAACAGAAAATGGAAGAGGTGACATGGGAAGTAGAGGCTGCAAACATGCACATCATGTCATTGGTATTCAAAGACATCTAACAGTAATGTGAGCACGCTAAGTCTTGTTTAATTGATCTTTATTCTTTAATGTACATCTCTACTCTTTGATCTGTGGATATACCCCTGCAGCATTGCAGTGTCGGTGCCTTTCCACAGCAGCCACAGGTTCAGTGTTAGGCTGCTGCCATTGGTCTTCAGAATCTGTTCCTGACATCTTTGGGTTGCTTCCAGCTTTTGTTGCTTGAACATATGTTTATTGGTTTGTAAAAGTCTTTAATTTTCTGCATGGCATTTACTTCTTATTCGGTAGAAAAAACCCTCTTCCCTTCTCTCTGCAGGTTTAGTGAGTAGCAGATGTACTTTAGCCAGTATAATTTATGATTAGTTAATTTAATCTGCCATAATGACATAAAGTGAGCCTGAAACAAGCTTCTATCAATTTTGCCATTAGAGGTAGCATAATATTTTCAAATGTCTACAAAACTGAGTAATTAACCCTTGGGCTGAGAGGAGTCTAATAGACATCTCTCTCATATTCCTTTGCTTTGACAAAATGAAAACAAAACATGGGAGCCCAAGGGTTAAAAATAACAAGTGAGAGTTTATAGTACGTGAGACTGGTTTTATAAGTGAGGTTCAGAAATACATTGGACTGCTGCTGTTTGTTTTTAGGCTGCCAAAAATTCTCTCCAATGAGGCATCTGATTTACTCTAGAGCTTTACTGGCAGCATTGGCATGAAGAGGGTAGCTGTGCATCAACTATGTATCCCTTAGTTCATTGTTTTTCTTCTCTGTTTTGTAGCATTACAAAAATGGGTAGCTTTCGTTTCAACAGCAGATTGGTGCATGAGATTACCACTATTCAAAGTTTTTGAAAGAGCAGATGCATTTTTCAAAATAGTATTTTTTTTTGAAAAAAGGGGGTTACTCTAGATTTTAGCTCTGGAACTTCAAGCTGTATTGTTTTAACTTTATGTCCTGTTTTGTAAATGCAAAAGCTGATAGTTGGGGTTGGCAAGAAATACTTAAGGGGGGACCTGATAGATTCTTGTAAAGAAAGCATTAAGCAGATGTCCATGTTCTGTTAACAAACACGTTAAGAAGTATTAAATTTGGAAAGCACTACTGCTTCTTGTGGCCTGCCATGTAGATCAAAGGATTTCAAAAGTCGTAATGACATTTGCTTTCAATAATGAAAAATAAACTCTGTTGCAGGAAAATCAGGACTTTGGGACTGTGTAGTGGTAGAAACTGAGCAGGTACAACCAAGCCTGGGTATGCAGAGTGCCACAGAAAGCCATCTGTTATGAGACAAGGAGGGGACACACGCTTATGGGCAGAACTTGGTCACACAGAGCAGAGAAATATGCAAAGACATAATGCTGACTTAACATGTTTGATTAAAGATGAGGTGCTCTCAAAACATGAGACTGATGAGGATGAAGCAAACATTTTTGATTGGGGTGAGACTGCACTTAATGGGCTTTTGGTAACATAATTTTGCTATACATTAATTTAAATGCAATGGAAATACCAGCTCTAGGATTTTCAGCTGTTTCTGAACTGAGACAATAAAAGTGACTACTCAGTTTTATGTAGGTTTTCTCTGAAAAAAATTAATAGTTGAGTGACTGAAAGAATCAGTACTGCCCAAGAACCAAGAACATCTTTTCTGTTTGGCCATCATCTTCCTGCAACTTGGTCAGTATTCTTTACTAAGGGTAATTTATTCACAGACCCCATCACTCTCTACAGGTTTCAGATGCTGCATTTAGCCCTCTGTGCAAGGCATAGCACCTTGCAGAACTTGATCATCACAACTATATAATGTTTTGATCCATGACCTCAATGAGAATTACTCAAGAGCCTCTGAAAGTAAAGTGCAGATTTTGCTCTTCAGTACCAGCAGTTGAGTTATAGTAGAAAGAAATGAGCTATTTGTTGCAGGTGGATAGTAATAAAATGTTGTCTTTCATCAAAAGATTTACCTTTTGGTTAAACAAAGGTTAATGCCTCAGGGTGTTAGACCTAATACTCTTACAGGGTCATTATCATCAGTGCTCTGACTCCTTGCCAAGTCACAGAGATCAATTTATATGATGATGGAGTGATCAGTTTTCCCTTGGTTAATGGTGGATAGCACATGGGTAAAATTTGGTACTATATTAGATGATAAATTTGCTCTCCAATCACAAATTTAATCAGTGGGATCAGACCTCAGTGATAAAAAACACCAATGCACATTTACTTTCATGTTATACCCCATTGGATAATACTGTCATACAATCATATCAGAGAATGGTTTGGGTTGGAAGGGATCTTAAAGATTGTTTATATCCTGATGGCACCTGCAGACCTCCCCTCATCAAAGCTTTAGTCTGATAAGCATTGTACAATCCATTCTGATTGTTCTTCATGAGGATAGTCCTTGTAGGAATATATGCACCTAATAGTAATGCAGAGTTGAAGGTGACTTTTGAAGGTGACTTTTCCTCAGCCAAATCCTGACTACTTTTTGATATTTGCCAATATTTTAAATGAATGTCCTATATTAATGAGTTAGAGGTTTTTTTGTTCTTGTTGTTTTTTTGTTTGTTTGCTTGCTTGTTTTTTTCCCTGAGAATTGTAGGTCTAGTACAGAAGCTGGCAATGTTTCATGTCTTAAAAGTGGGTGACTTCATTTTAAATAAGCTACTATATGCTACACTCATTATTTGAGTGTCAAAGCATCTCTACAATCAGCTAGTGTAATGGTTTCCATTTAATTTGTGTGATATGGTAGGAATTATGTGTATCTTCTTTAGCACCTAATTTTCTTTTGAAACCTGTAATTAGCCTAAGCTCATCAAATTCATTATAGTTCTACCAGGCAGACTGCTCTTGGACTGGTGAAAAAAACCATTTTATTGAAACCTATGTTTTAGGGGAAAAAGCACAAGGTGAACTTCCTGAAGGTTGGGATATTGGGTTTCTGTCCCCTGGACTTCTGATGTTCTGCTTAGTGAGTGTCCATGGCCCTCAGATGTGTGTCAGCAACCATCCGGCAGACGCAAAGCCCGATGAAGATGCCAATATATGTAGCTAGAGGACTTCTCAACTCTGTAGGCTGGCAACTGGAGATTTCTGAATATCTTTATTCTATTGGGCTTGCTCCTGCTTCCTCAGTAGGATCCTGGGAACCCTCAAAATTTTTAAGGTTCCTGCCTCATTGTTTCTGGACACTCAGATACACATTTTACCTTTTTTTTAAAGAA